GCAGTTAAGCCTTGGCAGATGGCTTTGGGGACTGAAGAGCTGCCTCTATATTCTGTCCCCCAAAGCCAGGCAGATCCATAATTCTGTATTGGAAATTGTTCTGGAAGGTTCTCTGTTTTTCAGAGTGATAGGAATGAATTATCTTATCATGGCAGTATAATTTTCTCCCTTCCTATTCTCTCTCTGGACAGAGAATAATAAGATAGCCTGAAAATAGATTTATTGGGGCTCGGGAGATGGCTCACTAGAATAAGCCCTTGCCTGGCAAGCTCAGGGGCCTGAGTTCAATCCCCAGTTCTGCCAAAAAAAAAAAAAAAAAAAAAAAAAAAAGATGAGTTCAGGGGCTCCCATGAATCAGCAGGACACCAAAGGCTCAAGGATGCAAATGTATGAACTGTTAACTTAAAGAGTTCCTGTGATAGCTGCTTGAGAAGGGCTTCCAAGGGAAGAGGCTCCCTGGAGTCATCTGCCTGTCCCCACCCAGCCAGGCACTCAAGAAGACAGTGCAGCCCTAGCCAACCTTGGTGTTATCTAAATGATGCTGTTTTACGGCATGCAGAACATAAAAATTGTGGGAGGAATTAGGAAGGCTTTCACCCAGACTTCAAAGGAAGGGTTGGGAAGCTGGGCAAGGAGTTTTGAAACGGCAGTGCATGAAGCTGAGGGAAAGAAACCACAGAAGGAGTGCAGACCCCAGAAAGCCGAGACCCAAGAATGTGGAACAACTGCTGAGGAAAGCTGCAGCCCCAGTGGGGAGCACCCAGAAGAGACCACCTGGGGTTCAACCAGCAAGGCCACAGGCTGGGGCTGGCCACAGGTGGGGCTACCCACATTCTCTCACACTCATGTTTTACCACTAAGTATCTTTGGTGACAGCTATGGATTTACAGAACTTAATTTTGCTGTTGTGTGTTTTTGTCTTGCTTTGGCCCATTTCTTTCTATCCACTCATTCCTCCCCTTTGTAATAAGAATATTTAATAGCTTAGGATTATATAACTTCTTTTTAACTTTTACCAATGTTCACAACTAAGAGTTTGCCTTGTGTCTCAGAAAACACCTGAACTTTTGAAAAATGCTGGAACTACTGAGACTTTAGGGACGAAATTATTGCATTTTTGGTTGTACTCAGGATAGTTATATTATGAATTATGAGCTGCGACTGTCTTTATTTGGAGATTAAGTACGGCTTAAGTAAATTTTTTGGGAGCCAGCGATATAGCTCAGTGGCACAGCCCCTACCTGGCAAGCACAAAGTCCTAAGTTTGACTCCTGGTACCAAAAAAAAAAAAAAAAAAAAAAGAGATTTTTTTTGGGTGAAAATTGACAAGAAATGCTTACCAGCTTAATGAAGCATACTCCTGGTAAGTCTGGGTGGGCAATGGAGGCGTGGCCTTGGGTGTTCTATGTGCTCCCAGCCCACTCCTGCCTGTTCCTCTGCTCTGCTTCCTGGCTGGCATAAACTAAGTGGCTTTGTTCTGTCGTGCCCTTCTACCATAATACATCTGCTTTAGGTCCTGAAGATCATGTACTGAATCCCCTGGGACTGGGGGAGAAGTTTTCTCCTCTCAATTGTAAATGTTGGGGACTGTGTTCCAGAAAAGGGAAAGCTAATACACTTAGTGAGGTAATTCTCTTCCTTTTTTTTTTTTATGTATTTGGTACAAGGTCTCACTACACAGCTTGGACTCCTAGTGATCCTCCTGTTGTTTTCAGCCTTCCCAGCACTGGGATTATGGTCGTGGGTCAGTACGCCCAGGGGCAGGGCCAGCGTGGCATGTGGTGCTGGGAATCGAACCCTGGTCCATGTGCTTGCCTAAGCAGGCACTTAGTCCACTGAGCTATCTTATCTCACTGGCCTTTGTATACTGTTTTTTAGTGTGTAAATACATATCCATGTGCTTTACAAATCACACAGGGAAAATTGTCCTCCTGAAGCCAGAGCAGAAAGGTCATATGCATCTGCTCAGACATAAAGCTGCTACAACCCCTATCCTGCCAAGATGTGAGGCTTCAAGTAGGGCCTTTGCTAACTTCTCTGAACCCCACTTATTTCATCTAAAAGAGAGGAAGATGCCAGCCCTAAGACTACTTAAGGAGTATGTAAGATAAAACTGCTGGCTACTGGAAATAAGCTCAAGAAAGGCCCTTATTTTATCAGTCAGGAGGAGATAATGCACATTTGAGATTATTATTATTTTTTTTTTTCAGACAGGCAGGGTTTCGCTCTACAGTTTAGGATGGCCTTGACTTCCCTATGTAGCCCAGATTAACCTCAAACTCAGTGATCCTCTTGCTTCAGCCTTGAGATTGTTGGGATTACAGGTGTGCACCACCAACTCAGCAATATCTACTACTTTTTGCAGGAATATCATTAGGGATCTCCCATTTTGTTAGGGAGGCAAGGCCCTATTCAGAGGGGGTGCGGGCTTACACAGTCAGAGTGCAATGGCAGGGATGGGAGGAAAGGTATCACAGTAACCTGCCAAGAAAGACTCACAGTACGTAATTGCAAGTCACTTATGGTGTTGGACTTATAACTTATAGTTCAGTGGTATAATTGCTATTTTATTGATGCTAACCTCTATTTTTGATGTTAATCTCTTATTGTGCTTAGTTTATACATTAAACTTTACAAAAGGCATGTAGGTATAGGAAAGACAGCTTATAGAAGGTCAGCACCATCTGTGTTTTCAATTACTTGGGGATGGTGGTAGATAGCATCCCCATGGCTAAAGGGTGACTACTGCATTGCTTTCTGCATTGTTAGTTGTTCAGCGATCTTCCAAGGAGTCACTGGCCTGGGTTTACCAAGCCAAGCAACAGTAGTAAGAAATGGATCTCAGGTACCAACCCCGTACCTCACCTTTGGGCAGGCAAATGCAGGACTGGCTGAGCTGAAGGATATCAGCCCACAGGCCAATCAACCCTGATTCTTCACAAACAGACCTCATCAGAATAAGCACATATTATCCAGCCCCACCCCATCTTCTCAGGAGGTTTTATGCAGACCAAGTGCAAAGTTATACAACATGTAGTTTCCTCCAGCTATGAATGATCAATTATAGGGGTAAACTGGAAGTCAAGTTGTAACATTTACAAATAAAAGATGATACCTTTTCTCACTTCACTTCTGCCATGAGAATCCTTGCTGTTCATTAGATCTTATTTTCACTTCTACTTAGAGAAAGTTTTCTACTGTTTCTTCTCTTTGCTTCAAATGCCCAATGCTCCTGACCAGGTGCACAGCCCCTGGGGAGCCAAGGCAGCTCTTCTGCTGCAGCATGACCCAAGGCTCCCAAGTGACACAAAGTGGCCTCCAGTGATCTGCAGGATTTATGCCCTTATATCATCTCTTGCTTTAGTGCAGAAAGACTTAATGAGCCAGGTGTAGCGGTACATGTGTGTAATCTTGGTACTTAGGAGGCTGAGGCAGGAGGATCACTGTGAGTTCCAGGCCAGCCTGTGCTACAGTGAGTTCAAGGCCAGTCTGAACTACCCAGTGAGAACCTGTCTCAAAAAAAAGACTAGAATGAAGCAAACACATAAGACAACAAAGTGATGGGATGTCACTTCCATGATTAGGTATGAAAGGTGTGACTTTGTTTTGGGCACTTTCCTTACTCTCTGGAATCTCCTCAGAACAGGGCAAGTCTGCTGCGCTTTCAAGAGCCTCATGTTACTGAGCTGGCAAGCTACTCCCTTGAGGCAAGCTACAGATATGGAGTGCACTAGGAAGCTGACAAGCCTCAACAGGTCTGCGGCCCTGGCCATCAGCTTGGCTGCAGCAGGGTGACAGATCTGAACAAGAAGAACTAAACTGAGTCCTGCTAGGATTTCTCACCCACAGCTAACAGTGAGATAAGGAATGCTCATTGTTTCTGGTTACTAAGTTTTGGGGTAATTCATTACATAGCCCAAGAGGACAAACAGCCTGGTCTCCTCCCAGCTTTTGGCACTCGGTTCCCCAGATTCCTGCTCGGACTCTATGTGAATGGAAAACTCAAGAAAGCCTTCTACGTATGTCCACTCTAGTTGGTTCTTTGTACATCATGTCTAAGAAGCTGAACTACAACAGAATATCCAAAGCTGGGTAACTGATTTTCTGTTAAGAGAAACACGCTGGTTTCCTCCTAAGAGTCCTGATTTCATCTCTCCTTTGCTAACATGTTTCTGGCATTCAAAACACATCCTTCTTCACAACTGAGTGACCATGGTCCAGCCTGAGGCCGTGTGCCCACCTCAGGCCCATGCTGCTGTGCTGCGCTTGACCATGGTCCACTCCTAGTGGCTCCAGATCTCAAGGCTCCTGCCTCAACAGTGAGCGCAAGATGAACAGTAATGAACGAAGTAACGTGAAGTCTGAATTTGGAGTACAAAAATTCAAACAGAAAGATTCCTAACTACAGCATACACAGGAGAGCTGGATTTCTGGTATGTAAGTAAGAGACTGTTTAAATTATTTTCTTTCCTCATTCAGGAAAAAGAAATAGCAAAATAAAGTAAATGTAAATTTTTCACTTTAGCGGGAGATGCAGAGAATAAAGGAACTTCTCCTGGCATCTAAGCAGGGTGTCCCTCATCCTGCCTGACTTACTGAGCTTGTGGCAAGAGTGGCTCAGCGCAAAAGACGAAGGTATCCTCCTTCGCCGAAGCTGCCACTCCCGAGCTCCCTCTCCCCCAGATTCATTTTGTGCTCTGGAAGACGTGCTTTTCATCCTAAACTATTTTCTCTCATGGTACACTTTCCCTTCATATTTTTAACCTTGTTGGGACAAAATGGAACTGTTTTGAAAAAAAGTTAGAGGCTAATTTACCCAAAACTACTAATTATTTTAAGTGCTTAAAATATTGATTTCTACTGGTCCATTGAAAAGAACAGTTAATTCTTAATTATTATTATTTTTCCTCCTAATCCTCCTCCTCCTCTTCCTCTTCCTCTTCCTTTTTTTGTGGTAACAGGGATCAAACTTGGAACCCTGCACTTGCCAGGCTTATGTTGCTGAGCTATATCCCCAGCACCCTTTTAAATTTTTTTTTTTTTTTTTTTTTTTTTTTTTTTTACTCCGAATGCCTGCAGTGCAGGTTTGGCTAGCCTGAGTTGTGGGGATCAAACCACAGCAACCTGAGCCTGACTGTTTTGTGGAAGCAGCCATTTAAAGAACTGAGATAAGGGGCAGGCCCCCTAATTTTTTTTTTTTTTTTTTTTTTTTTTTTTTTTGGTGACCAATTTTGTATGCTTCTATCTGGTAATCTGAACAACTAATTTGAAGACAATGATGTACAATGTAACAAACATTATTGAAATCCTATCATTTTGTTAAGTGAAATTCTGTATAATTTCTTTCTTTCTTTCTTTTTTTTTTTGTGGGGATGGGGGTTGAGGATCAAACTCAGGACCTTGTGCTTGCCAGGCAGGTGCTTAACCTACTAAGCTATCTCCCTGACCTTCTATATTATTTCTGATAGTATTTTTTTTTACTATCTTTTATTCTCTTTAAAAATATTATGTCAACTTTTAACATTTCCAGTTTATCTTTTATGCTGTAAAAGATGTAAATTTAAGACTATTTGGAAAGACAGAAAAAAGTAAGAAAACTAGAAAATTAGAATACCAACTACCTGGAGTCAAGTTTTGCTTTTTGAATTATAATAAACATACATAACAACATTTGCCATTTTGTCCATTCATAGAGTATAATTCGGTGGCATTGAGTATTATATTTGCAGTGGGATTTATGGGGCAAAGGGACAGACATTTAAATAAAATAACTCACTAGCTACAATTGAGTATTTCTGCAGAGATGTGGACTAATGGTTCACTCAGCCATGTTTGAATACATTTGTTTTATTTATCAGTAGCACTATATATTTAGTTACTTTCCACAGATTTTCAAAGTAAAAAATAGAACTTTAAAACTGAGTTAAAGTATTTTAAATGAACAAAGAAGGCTAAATCCTTTTTGGTGCATAATTTTTACCTTGACTCTTACCTAGGGAAGCTGTAGCCTTTCCAACCACATACACGGACTTAGGGCTCCATTTTTCTCTCAGAGACCTTTTCCAGTCTGCAGAACATGGAATTATATGTGAGGTATAAATATCCAAGTGTCCATTTGGACTCTTACCAATGGATGCTTGTGCATCCTAAGCAAACCATCAATAACAAACTGCTAAGACGGCATCTCAGCTCGTCACTGCGGCACACATCTGTAATCCCAGCACTATAGTGGGCCACCGGGATCGAAAGTTTGAGGGGAGCCTGTAATACTTAACAAGACCCTATCTCAAAAAAATAAAAAAAGAAATCCCACTAAAAACGAAGACATAAAGAACAGCCACTCAAACTAAAATTACATTTTCATATTGTTCCTAGTCTGCAAGAAAAAAATTTAAAAGGGCTGGGAGACAGCTCAGCGGCATAAGCACCTGTCTTGCAACTGCAAGATCATGAGTTATACCCCCAGCACCGAAAAAAAAAAAAAAAAAGGAAAAAGAAAAATTTTTAAAATCACATTGACAAATATTTCAGCATAACTCACTTAAAAGAACTCATTTCCACAGTTGGCACCAGCAGTTATCCCCACTCTAAAACCAAGCTACATCTCTAGCCTTTTTCTTGTTCTATATTTTGAGACAGTGTCCTGCTCAGTGACTAAGTTGCCTGGGCTAGACTCAAAACTGGGATCCTTTTGCCTCAGTTTCCCAGCGTGTGGGATCACAAAAGTACAGTACCACGTAGAAGCACTTTAATGTGTATTAGGAAATAGGCATAATGTAAAGGATTAATTTGCAGGGTGATATTAAAATTTAAAAATTTAGATTTTTAAAGAAAAAGCCACCAGTCATTAAAAAAGCAACGTGAGTATCTATTAAGGCAATACACCCGTTTTATTTGGGACATAAATCTTAAAGTAGTCAATAAGCTTCAATCTCAGATGAGAGGGCTCATGCATCCATTAGGTCAAAGTAGAAACCATAAATTTCACCTTTATTACCAAATATAACGTAATACAGAATATCATTATTTTATGGAAAAGATCTACAGACATGGACTGACAAACTACAGAGACAAAAGACTGAATAAGCACATCATAAGGTCAATGAAGAGCCGAAGCATTTTTAGAAGACAAAGACATACTAGTTATTCCTTTCTAAAATATGCTATGAGCGTAACTTTCCCCTCCACTCAATAGTGTTATTCTCTCTTCACACCCTGAGGGAAGTTTCTAAATGGCAATCCCGATCGAGTCTCACCTTTATCCCACAGTGTAAATAATATCTAGTAGAACATTATCCAGGAGAATAAACTGCTTCCCAAGGTCGCAGCACAATGGGGATGGAGCAAGCACGGGTTGTATCGGAAAGCCTGGCTGCAGAGGTGTCTGCTCTAAGCTTGCTCTGTGACCCCAGGACAGGTGGTCGCCCTCTGTCTTTGTCTTCACTGAGATAGCTAGGTGAACTACACCTCTCCTGCCCACCATCTATTATTGTCATGAGAATCAACTTTTTTTTTTTTTGGTGGAACCGGGGATTGAACTCAGACCCTTGCGCTTGCCAGGGAAGCGCTTATTCCACTGAGCCCTCTCCCCGGCTCCTAGAATCAACATTTTTAAACATAGGGCTTTTGAACTGCAAAGCACAGCAAAGCACAACAAAAAGTTACAATGTTTACTCTCTGGTTTTCTTCTCTTTGTTTTTTTCATTTTATGTATTTGGGACAGGGTCCCACTAAGCAGCTTGGGCTCACAGTGATCCTCCTGTTTTCAGCCTCCCCAGTGCTGGGATTACAGGTGCATGCCATCATGCCTGGACTCTCTTGCTGGCTCAGTATGCCCAGAGGGCAGCATGAGGGACCTGAGATCGAACCCTGGTCCCTGCACTTGCCAAACCAGGCATTTAGTCCACTGAGCTATCTTGCCAGCCAAGGTTTTCTTCTCTTTATCTTCATCCTCTAAGCACACAGGAAAGGCAAAATATGACTGCAGACAATGCTCCTGTCCAGAAGCTCCACTGGAGAAAGCAGTGGGCTTCCCTGCCTCAAGTTTCTTTTCTGCTTTGGAAAAAGCCAGCCTAGGTACACGTGCAGAGAGACGACTTGACAACCTGTCACCACTGCCCCTTGCTGCCCACTGCCCCATCAGTGCAGTGGAAGCTCCTCTCCAGGAGTGCTTAGACTCTGCTGTATGAATCACAAAGCTGCAACTTTTAGACTCCATGGCCTTGACAGCTTTGCACCTTCTGTGCAAAGCTTCAGGATCCTCGCAGGCCAAGTGGGAGTGCTGACTTCCTCTATTCCTAGGTGGAGACTGAGGACAGTGCCTGGTACATGACAGGCACCCAATGCATTCTAGCTAGTGGGGAGTCAAGGAACAACCCCTGACACAGGACTTACTAAGCCTGCCCAAGGGCAAGGACACTGAGGGGCAGAGAGGCCAAGGAGCTCACTGAGGTCAGAATGGCTGTATGAACCCAGGCCTGGGGCACTCCAGGTCCTGGTGCTAGCCATACTCCCTGCTGCTTCTGCTCAGACACAGCCCTCCCAAGCCTCAGTGCTTTCATCTATGGAGTGAGATTGTAGTATTATGTGTTTCTGGGATGTTGCTTGGAGCCAAGTAAGATAATAAATGTGAAGTATTTCACACAGTACCTGAGTACTTCATAAGTGTTAGCTTATGAAGTATTCTGTACAATACGTCATAAGTGTTAGCTCAGAGACTGTTCAAATGACGTTATGAAGGAGGTTCAGTTGGTGGGCAGTGCCTTTCACATGGCTGTGATGGAGAGGGAGGGAAGACGGTGGAAGAGTCCAAGAGATAGCTATGTTACTAAGAACTTGGTACAATGTGGAACATCTGCTCAAACACTATTAAATTTTCTCATCAATCCTTTGAGGAAAGTGGTTTTTATCCTACTTTCAGACAAACAAGACAATACCTTATATACTCTGAGGGGAAACTCAAATGCCCAACAATCATTTAAAAGGCTGGGAGAGCTCTCTCCACCTATCTGCTTGGGAGCTGAGGAGACATCTTTGTTTCCTAGGATGCATCTGTGGCTCAGGACCACCATGTACGCACTTCTGTCAGCAGCACAGCTATCTCTGGAATCTTGTGTCTCCATGGGGGAAAGAAGAGTAAACAAAGTCAGAGCAGGCCAACTCTCACCTTCAGTTTTACTGTCTTTCCTCAAACACAGCTCCACTGCTTCCACTGCTCTGGGGCTGGTAAAAATGAGTCCCCCGTAATCTTCTGGATGAGACAGCTGCACATCAAAAAGCAACGAAAGTATCTCCTAAGGAACTCTGACCCACAATTTCAATGCTTTCCATAAGTGTAGGTAAGGGAATTCCTTCCACCCAACCCTCTCCACTGACTCAACCCTTACTGAGCACTTATCATGGACCTGGCATTATACTAGGTCTTTTAGGATTTGCAGGTGAGTTCATTATCATGGTGTTTCCCTCAAGAAGCTCACACCTCAGGGACACAGAGCGCAGTGCAGTGGTGAGTGGAATTGCAGCTGAGGAGGCCTGATCTGGCCTGGAACTCTGATGGGCAGGAGGGCAACAGACCTGACCTGCCTCTGTAACATAACTTGGCTATTCTGGGGGTGACACATATGCCGAAGCCGAGCGTTTCAAGCATAACATACTGGTGACACCATCACTGAACATTTATTCAAGCCAGGCCCTGGGCTGTTGTGAATGTCTGGCTTTATTCAAGCTGCAGGTCCTGAATCTTCTCACTTTTGGGGTGGTGGGGGTCAAACTGAGGGTCCTGTGCTTGGTAGGCAAGCACTCACATACTAGACTGCCTCCCTAGCCCAAAACCTTTGATCTGAAACATTTAGAAGGCAGAGTCTGTTTCCTTGCAATACTGGTCACTCATACACCTGCCAGGAGAATTGACGGGGTGGACAGAAGCAAAGAGTTTGCATCCCAGACCTGGTCTTCCTGGGTAGGGGTCTGGGCTGAGCGGTCTAACCTGTGACTTCTATCTCTAAAATGGAAAAAACCCCAGAACAGCTTGCTGCACAGAAGTTGGGGCAGACTGAATTAAGTGAGAGGATCAATGGAGGGGCCCTAGGACCCAGAGCCGCCCAGCTGTGCTGCACTCACAGCCTTGTTTGTCTGGGCCCATTTCTGAGTCTAGGCTGCTTATCTCTCCAGAGCTGAGAGAGGCTCAGCGCCCCACAGTGCAGGGTTCTGAACACAGGGAAGCTGTGCGGGCCTGGTGGTAAAAGGAGGGGCTACCAGCAGGCCCTCCAGCTTGGGCTGGCAAGGGTTGCAGAGAGACTCATGAACATGGGGATCAGACGCCATAGGACTTACCTTCTCAGAGAAGCTGGAGAGAGATAGAAACTCAAATGATAACACTGGGATCAATGTGGCTTCCAGGCCACACAGTGCTAATTCCTGCAAGTGAAAGAAAGTAGTTCTGGGTTGGCTAAAGCTGTTCTGAAAAGAACAAAGGGTCATAGTATATTTATTCTGTGTCAAGTCTGGATTTTAGCAGCTCCTCTCCACCACCAGCTCCAGCTCCTTGATGCCATTAGCAAGGAAGCGCTAGTTCAGGGCAGGAGTCTCTGCTACTTACCCTGATATACGGATCTTGGCTACAATCATCCTCCTTTGTGTCTTTCAGTAAAAGAACCTTCATCGTGACCTGGAAGTCCTGCTGGAGCACTGCTGCACGGCAAGGAAACAATCTGAATTAGATCTCAGAGACTCCCTGAGCACCGTTTCACGGGGACGCAGCACTAGAAGGAGGCGATCTGCTCTTCGTGGAAGAGACCGAGCCTACCTCACCATGACTTAGCACTAAGGGCCCTGTTCTTGCGGAAGACTCCTGTTACTGATAAAGCCAAGGGTGGGCAGGAGAGGGTGTCAGCAGGTGATAGAGCACTTGGGGAGGCAGATGAAGGCCACTTACAAGTCACAAGTCCTACAAACAGTTCTGGCTTACAGAAGAGAAGTGCAAATTCTAGATTGCATCAGTAAAAATAAGAAATGAACATCTTACATTTTAAAAAAAGATAAAAAGATAAATATTTGCATTTCTTTTTAAAATTCATTTTAACGAGAAAAAAAGATAAAGTAGCAATGAAACAGTTTCAAAACAGGTTAACAGGATGGTTACAATAATTAATATATTGCATATTGTTGTCTTTGTAGTAGGTATTCAGAGGACAAGATATATTTCAAGATAATTATACTAAGTGGCTTTGCTCATACTTTAAGAAATAATTATATTGACTTTTCTACTTCTGAAATGATATTTATAAAAACTGACAAATGTAATGAAGTATCTAACAAACTGAAAAATAATTTGACATGTATTTAAAATGTTATATATTTCATATTCTTTCTTTTTATAATTTCACTTGTAAGACTAAGTAAAAAGGTAGTACTCAAAGTGTGAACAAAGATTAACATGAAGATACTGGTTTTGTCATTCCTTGTACTTCCAAATGACTGGGTACAATCTAAATACCCAAGAATGACAGAATGCTTAAAAATATGGTATGGCACTAAGAAGAATATATGCAGTGTGTTATTTGTTGAAACTGTATTTCCGATTTGATTTGAAACTGTCTCATTGCTGTTTATCAATAAAATTTTGGAAAAAAATATGGTATGGTATTATAACACCATTAAAATATTCATACATCACTTAACTGCCTGAATTAGCTAATAAACATTACATTATATAAAAATTATTTGAAAGAACATATAACTAAGAATCAATAACATGCTTATGCTATTCTCCCCTTCAGTGTAATAATAATAGTGTAATTACAGTGTAACAGCACTAATTATGCAATATCAAGCAAATCAACTACTTTCAGTATCATCCAAGACAAACTGGATACTAACATACCATAAGAACCAATTACATACCATGCTTAACCCTAGAGAAAAAATCCACAATTATGGAGGTGTAAATGCTAAGACAACCCAGGTATTGACTTACAGCTAATATGTATTAAATACAATAGCTGCATTTGTTAATGGTAAAAAAGTTTTATAGAGTTTATACAGTTAACTGTCAAATGTTAAATAAAGTTTTATGGTCATACTGTTAAAGATATAGGGTATGGGAATGGGGAATGCAAGAGGAAAAATATGAATGCCTAAGCTACTTGAAATGGGAAGGAAGAGACAGAAGTGGTACACAGGATCCTACTGGGGAGTAGAAGGAATTTTATAGAACTAGGTAAAGAGAAAAAAAAAATGAGAAACAGATGAAAGAAAAGAGAGAAAGGAAATATAAGGGGAGTAAAAATAAGTGAAAAAATAAAAGAAAGAAAAATTAAAAGGGGGAAAAAAAAGAAAGGATAAGAAAGGAGGACAAAGGAAAACATCCCGAAGCAAAAACAGAAAGAACAAAAACAAAAAGAGATAAATTTCTGTGATTTTGAACATGTGGTTTGGGGGAAACGTCCAAGTGGGGACATGCCCCTGCTCACACTGTAAGATAAACAACAGTCTGACCCCAGATCCATGCTGGAGGCAGCCCCCAGCAGGCAGCAGGATCAGGATGAAGGGGCCGGTGCCACACTTTCAAATTCTGAGCAACTCTGGCTGAGCATGGTCTCCTCTGGCCATGAGTGCAGAGCCGGTGTCCTATATCTCAGATACCACAAAGGGTCTCTTCCCAGCCTATTAGGGTTCCCTGACCATAGCTGTTTCCTACCCAGTCTCTGTGGAATTATTATTTTTTTGCGGTGCAACTTAGAGGGCTGAAGCATAATGCTGGCGGAAACAGGTGAATCTGGCTTCAGAGCACTACTTGAGATCTTCTTATCTCCAACATGGTTTCATGCCCTGCAAATACAGTTCCCCATGATTTCAAAGGTATCTTGGTAACACTTTCAAATACCAGGAGCCAGTCTCTCATACAAGTGTTTCTGTTCTCAGGCAGTGATACCAAAACCTCTGAGCTGGAATCTCCTTCAGAGAACTTGGGTCTGCATTATGTACTGGGGAATGTATGTGATAATTTCAGGTACTAAAAAGTACTAAGAGGTGACATGGCAGAATGATAGGGATGCTGACAGTCACCCTTCTGGGGAGATCTCTCTGGGGAGGTGACATCTGAGTTAAGCTTTTAATGATAATAGCAATGAGAAGAAATGTTCAAGTGTCCTCAGGAGAGAAGTACAGTGTGGCTCAAGTGTACAGACAATGCAGACTGGATTTCACGAGAATCTTCTGCGAAGTGTCAGCCATGTCAGTGGTAAGATCCACACTTTAGAAACACCAGAGGCTCAGTAGCGGGGATGTACCAGGACTCCAAGGGTCATAGCAGATTAGGTGAAAAAGCTCCTGGTTTGGATCAGAATTGTGGTGGCAAAGCTGCATGGGGGATTAGGCGTGACCTGTTAGTTCTAAGACTTCTTACCAGAACTGAGCAGGTTCTAGATACGATGGCCTAGGCCTGATGTCAGCCTAGGCCACGACCTTCCAGCACCACCTCTCAGGGCCCATATGTAGAAGTTCTTCAGGTTTCCTTGAGTTTTGGACTGCATTAAGGAGAAACACCTCAAGAACTTGCCCTGTGGCTTCTCCTCATGATAGCTCACCATGTTTTCTCCAGTTCTCTTACGTTGCTATTTCCTCTTTTACTTGGCTCAAGCTCACTGTGCACAGCCAGTTTCTCCTCCACTTTCCCCCCACTTGTACCCTTTTTTCCTTTTCTGGTATCAGGAAGTGAACTCAGGACTTTGCACTTGCCAGGCAGGTGCTATGCCGCTGAGCTACATCCCCTATCCCACTTTTACTTTCCTGAATAAACTTTGCCACTACTTTTCCCTCATTTTATTCTATGCTTTGCTTGAGATGAGAAGAACTTGGAATCAAACTGCAGGAGAGGGAAGCAACTCAGAACCCAGTAACAATTAGCTGGCGAGCCACTTTCAGGAGCAGGCTACCTGCTAAGGGCACAACTCTGGGCAAGTAAGTGGCTGGATCCGATTCTTACTGAGGACAGAGCTACCGACATAGAATTCTGGGTGAAACCACATGTTCACAGCTTAGTTTGAAATGGTTGGGACCAGGCTGGAAACAAATGTCTTTTTGCGTTGAAATCTTGAACATTTGAGGTTTATCTGTTTAATCCTATCATTTAGTCAATAAATATTTACAGAATAGTAACTGTAGTTGGCATTTAGGCATACAATACAATCCCAGCAGCGTATTTATAGGAAAACAAAATGGTTATTTTACAAAACTCTAAACACAGTATTGTTGGACAGTCAGTCCCCTCCACTCTCCACAGTGCTAGAGATAGAGCTCAGGACACTCTACCACTGAGCTACATCCCTAACCCCTTTAAGATTTATTCTGAGACAAGTTCTCCCTAAGTTATCAGGGTTGGTCTAGAACTTGCGATTCTTCTTTTTCAGCCCCCCAAGTTCCTGGGATTAGAGGCACTGGAACTGGACCTGATTAGAAGCAGTAAGTCTTATGAAAGAAAAGTGCTGTGGAAACATGTGGAAGCATACCTGGAAAGTCTTATTTGGACTGGCAGGTATGCCACAGACTGCCCCCTACCCCCAAATTCCTCTCTTCTTTCCTGCTTACCAGAATGGAATCTCTCATTTTTAACTGGGCACTTGGTTGCCTAAAATAAAAACGACTCGCTTCCAGCCAACAGGACAGAAGAAGAAGCGGCATGGGCCCTGTCTTTTGAAGGAATTATTCTTCCTCCCAGCTGCTTATCTTGCTAGGGAGAACACAGTGGGTGCACCAGGCCTGTGGTACTTGCAGAGGATGGCCGAAGGATATTGCAACAAGACAGAAGAAGTATGGGCCCCTTGGTGTGCTAGTACCAACAATGCAGCCTCAGAAAAGGAAAGGCCTATCCTGAACACCCACTGTTCATTTAGCTCTGTCAGGCAGCTGAAACTACATCCTAATAAATACAGAGGAAGTGATGTTTAGATGCTGATCCAAAATCTGAGCAAGAGGCTGCACACTGCAGAAGCTCTGAGGTGGGTAAGCTCAGGAAAGGAAGTCAGTCTGACAGCCAGCATGTGTAAGGCAGAGTAGTGAGAGACCATGCAGGAAGGGGCCAGAGTGCCGAGCCGTACTGGGTCACTTGTGGGAGGCTGATCTTAAAGAGAAGCATCTTGTTGATGGACTTAACTGGCCCTCTTTTTATTTCTGCGTGCCCTCTTATGCTCAATTTCTCTATGGAGATAACAGAAGACAGGAAGTGGGGCGGGTCACAGAATAAGCACAGGAGTAAGGGGTAAGGGATGGGGCTTTGGTCTCAGCTTCATTCTTCACCATGGTGTGAGCTTTTTTTCTCCCATGTTAAATGGAAAAAATGCTAACAAGCCTTAGGGCTTCTGAGTGTCTCGAAGATAATGCTGACAGCTAACACAATTTCCATGCATTAAATTAATGGGATTTAGGAGGAAGCAGAGGTGTATGGAGGATGGCACTCATCTCAGATTTCAGAACTGCTAAGTTCTGGGACTTGAGTCCTAGGCAGCCTGGCTCCAAGTTCTGTGCTCTCAACTCCCTTGCTCTCTGCTACCACTCATATATTTTTGCATGCAACTTTTGGGAAAATGACAGCATAAAGCATCACTACACTACAAAATAGTGACATCACATAAACATGGGAAAGCAGTACCAATCTATCCAGTGAGAACAGAAAAGTACTCCTCTTGAGTTCTTTTCTGATTCTTAGGTAATAAAACCAGTGGTAGCATGAAGCCTTGGTTTCTTAATAA